GACAGCAGCCACGGAACTGGTGTTGATCGTAGTGAAGTCCTTGCAATTATCCAAGCCCCACTCGAGCGCCTCGCCGCTTGCTTTGCTTTAGGGCGCTACGAGGGCTCTTAGGGCTTCCAGCCCCGGAACGCAGTATGGCTGTCAGCATGGCATCGCTGAGTGTAAGAAGCGCTGACCCGCCCAAAAACAAGTCTGACTGCAAGCAGTCGTAGTAGCAAGCCGCCACAAGCCGAGCCGGCCGGTTAGGCGGGGGGGGGGGGGGGGCGACTGGGTCGAGCTCGTGTGATTACACCTGACTTGAGGTATGCTTGGCAGAGCGCGCAGCATCTAAACCCCCTTACAGTAGCACCATGCAAGCCACTGGGGCTGAAGAGGCTTTTGGGGGCTTTTTCTTGTGCAGAACCGTGCATATCTTGGGACAGAGACAACATAGTTCACACTCAGCCACACCTCCAAGTTGCCGGCAAAGTCTATGAATTTGTAGAATGGGCGCAGCGGATATGCTGGGCAAAGAATGTGTTTCAGATGGATCGCTTCGTGCCGGTAGTCCTGATGATGCTTCAGCTCGAGGTTTCGGCAGCGACGGCCATCTCTACATTGCTTGTGCCACTGCCGCCCGGTTCCCTCATGAGACAAAGAATCCAAATGGTCTGGGTCCTTGCTGTCGCAGCGTTCATCGGGGCACTCCGGCAGATGCACGTGTAACGACGCGAGGACGTGGTCGGCCTTGTGCTTGTCGCGGCAGTGCATGTATCGGCACATCAGCTTTACCTTCTCCTTCCCCTTCTTGGGATCAGCTAGGGGGTGATGCACCGCAAGGTGTCTCATGTCCATCCACTGGAAACAAACAGTCTCATGGCAGCATCGGACTGGATCTGGATGCCAGAACACTTGCATGTGTTCCTTGCTTTCCAGGCAGGCGTCCGGAATGATGGTTCCCATCCTCATCTTCTCACACAGTGGCGGGTGCTTGAACTGGCGTTCGTGCGCCTCCGTGCGATTGGAGCATCTTGCTCCTTCCGGGCAGCTGTCTGAGTTGTGTGTGGCCACCAGCATGTGCAAAGGATTCTCCTTCTGTGCGCACAGGTTGCCATGAAAGCAAGGCTTCGGGTGAGTAAAGAGCTCTAGGTGCCACCGATCGAACTTGCTCGCCGGCGTCTTCCCACACTCGCAAATGGCTGGGTGAAAGAGTTGGGAGCATGGTGAGTCGGAGCAGCCCTGCATCCACACATCTCGACAGTTGCCACCAAAGCTGCAGATGGGCTTCTGCTCGTCAGCATCTTTGCCAGGACCAGACAGCATCTCAAAGGCGACCTCCGGGGCGATGATGGGCTTTCTGGTCATCACCTTCGGCGGTAGCTTCACAACCCTTTTCTTGCCGGTGAGAACCTGCCGGAAGACATCGAGGTTCCTGCCGCCCTTGATAGCAAAGTAAATTTTCTTGAAGGCACCTGCAAACTCCTCGAGGACCTCCTGGAAGATGAAGGCCATGTGCTCCGGGGGGTTCCCGAAGGCGCCACAGCCGAGGGCGCTGAGGATGAGGACCTCCACTTGATGATGCTTCGCCACCAGAAGCAGACTTCGGAGCTTGCGATGCGTCAAGACGGCGTAGCCCGGCGTAAGCTCCAGGAAGCCTGCGGCTCAGAGGGGCTCTGGTGATGATGCTTCTGGGGCTCTCTGGTCCTCCACCCTCGTCTTAAGAAGGCCCTAGAGGGCCAGGAGTCAGAGTTGAGAGACGTATCTGTGTGACCCCTTCAAAGTCGCTCCCAATCCCCCATGTTACCCCCTCCTCCCCAAAACCCGAAACCCTCAACCGAACCCTGCACCACCCTGAACCCTAAAATCCCAAGCCCTGAAACCCTAAAGCCCTAAAAGCCCCAAACCCAAAAACCCCAAGACCTGAACATCCCTATGAGCCGTAAAGTTTGCAGCCGCCCAGGGGAGCCTTTCTTGTTCAACTCCGAAAGACCGGGCTCCTCGGAAGGTAGCGGATCCTGGCCCATCGTCTCCTCACTTCATTTAGCGGGCTTCGTGGTTTAGGTTTCTTAGGGTTTGGGGGGTTTTGGGGGCTTATGGTTTTGGGGTTGGAGCGCTTTGGGGTTTAGGTCTTTGGGATTTGGGGTTTTTGGGGTTGAGGGGTTTTGGGGTTGAGGGGTTGAGGGGTTGAGGGGTTGCAACGTCTCCTCACTGCGGCGTGTAGGGCCGAATTCAGTCTTGTGGATATCCATGAGCCTCTTGCCGAGGCTCACCTGACTCCAAACTGCGTGAAAGTTGGCCTGGAGTTTGGGGTTTAAGGGGTATCCTTCAGTTCGGGTGGGCTCGAAATTTGTATGAGCGCGTGGATTCCGTGGTCTATTCTTAGGGTTAGATGAACTAACTGACGGTATCCTCACATTCTTGCCATGATTTGGCTTAGAGGAGCCTGAGAACCCTAAAACCCAAACCCTCAACCCCTGCCCCGCCTGGTAAGCGGCGCAGGCCAAGGCGTTGAAGGCCACGGGCTTCTCCAAGAATGGGAGGCCCTGCCCTTGCTCCCCACGCAAGATCTCGACATTCCTCAGTCCGCCATCCCCTGGTTGAAAAGTTAGGGTCTAGGGTTTAGGGTCTAGGGTTTAGGGTCTAGGGTTTAAGTTGGGTTTAGGGTTTAGGGGGGCTCCCGAAACAGAACCGTAGATTCCAGAACACATTTCCACGACCCTGCGAATGACGTCTAGGCTCTAGGAAACTTACGACAACTCTTTGGGTCCCCATCTCAAGCCCTAAACGAAGGCCCAGAGTCTCGGTGAAGACCACGCCGAACTCCTCCAAAGGGTAGGGGACCTGCGTTAAGGTCCGAACCTCCGGGTTCTCGTGGAGGAAAGCTTTGAATGGGCCCGGAGTGGCCGCAACACACGTCGTGCGGCGAAACATGTCCTCCTCCTGGGCCAACCGCCCATTGTCGAAGCCTCCAGCTGTGCAGCACCCAACCCCAAGTCCTAAGCCCCAAAGTGGGTTTGAGGTCTAGGGTCGCAAGCCGCCAGTGCTCCCTGAAGAAGAGGAGCTCCTTGTGTTGCTACACATTCAGAGCAACCCTGAAATCATGTTAGCTTACAGGGCCCCTGAACCCAGAACCTTGAGAACTGCCGGGCCTCCTCCAGGGTGATCCGGGTTTGCCATGTTCAAGACCGTGGGATGCCTATCTTCGCCACGCCTGGCCAGCTCCACGGCAAAGGAGAGACAGTCGCTGTCAACAATCTCCACCTTGCGCCCCCCCCCAAACCCCAAACCCTAAACCCTAAACCCCTAACCCGCCCCCCAAGGCCCGGATTTCGCAAAAACCCGATGCAGGGGCTGCAGGGGTTTACAGGGCTTAGAATGCCCCGTATCAGTCTCATTCTCTCCCTGAGGCCGCCAAAGCCCACGTCCCGACCTACCTGCCTTTAAGCCCCTGAACCCTGTAGTGTTTAGGGTGTAGGGTTTGAGCTTAGGGTTTAGGGTTTGGGGTTTGGGGCTTGGGGGTTTCGGGTTTGAGGGCTCCTCCGTTCCATCACCATGCCATTGCGGAGGCTTCTCCTTGTCCAACCTGACCAACTCCTGCTTTCCTTAGACGCATGGTAGCTACAAAATGACTGAAGTTTCGGGGTTTGGGTTGAGCTTGAAGGTCCCTATAGGGTTCAGGCGTCAGGGGTTTTGGGTCTTGGGCATGGGGTACGGTATGGGGGGTTTAGGGCTTAGCCTTGGGGGTTAGGATACTAGACATGACGGCGATGATCAATCACAGAGCAGAAACACGCACCCCAACAAAGACGCAGCGTCCGTAGGTGCTGTTCTTGATGAGCCTCAGACACAACGCCTGCCAAGCAGTCATGAAAAACAGTCTCTCAGGAGGCGGAGAGCTTCAGCCCATGAAACCCTCGAGAATGACGGCGAGACTCACTGGAAATAGCGTGTGATTTCATTCATTATCATGCAGTCCTTTCCCAGTTGCGGTGCACAATTCTACCTCTTCACGTCTCCTCTCAAATCAGACAACACTAACAGTAAAAAAAATTAGACCTGAACCCCAAGCCTGAACCCAGCAGTCCAAAATCCTGCTGATAGCGCTCAGCACTTGGCCGACTTTGACATGATTTTACATGTTTTTGCCCACCTGCTGGCTCCCTTCCAGATGATACTGGCCTTGCCGGCATGCCTCACAGAAGCACAGCTGGACAACGTACCGCACTCTGTTTAGGATCTGGGGCTCAGGGACTCGGGAATCTGCATCCTCTTCGTGGCAATGTATCGATGAACTTGCGCATGTTAATGGCTCTCTAGCCCCTAAGCTTAAACCCCGTAAACAACATAATATACATACACATACACATACACATACACATAAACCTACACCTACACCTACGCCTACACATACACACGTGTGTATATATATATATGTATGTATACTTGCACCGCACTGCGCGGATTCGGGCCTGAAGAATCGGCAACAAAGCAGCCTTGTTGAGTGCGCACCTCTCAGGATGCTGGTAGTCCTGCTCTGCGCTGTAGCTGTGACCGTTGTTGCCATGGGCAGTTAAACAGAGAAGGGGCCAAATGAATGAGCTAAGGCTGGACGAGACGGCTTCAGAGAAACAGGTCCACATCAGGGCCCTCACAGTCCTACGTAACTACACTGGGTTTAGGTTTAGGGCTTCCATGCTGTGAATCCAAGAAGAACAAAAGATGTGCAAACGCGCAACACGCAGCTCCACGCAGAACACCGCAAGAGGAAACACATCCTGCTTAAGGAACATCTTAACATTCCGCTTCTGAGGCTAAGGATGAATCCTTCTTTGATGCCGGGCTTTTTGGGGGGCCCGTCAATTCAAACGCCCGTACGGCTGTGCAAATCATCAACATGAGCGCTACATTCGCTACATTCTGCGTCCCGGCAAGATCCCTCATGTTGCTGTCTCTTACGACGTTCATGTCACCCCTATCAGCTACGGGCATCACGAAATCGAGGTCCCCCCTTGTATGCTTTTCTAAGGCAGAGCCCTTGGGTCCTTGTAGCCTGGCGGTAGCGGCAGATCTTTGACTTCGTCGAACTTCTGCTGGTACAGCTTTGGGCACCATTCGCTGGGAGGGCACTCCGCGAGATCCTGCAAAGAGGTTTAGAACTTCAGCACAAAGGCTTTAAGGGGCTGCACATGCTGCAGCACAGAAAACGTGAACATGACACGGGCACGCTGAGGATGCACATCCCGCGATGTCAGTTCGGCACCAGCATGCACGGCACTGTCCTGGCTGAGTTCAAGCACTTGGTGCACGGCCTCTTTGTTTAGGATGTCGCTGACGGAATTTTGCTTCAGTTCATCAAACATCTCGTCGTCTTGGAACATCTTCTCGAACAGGCTCATCACAACTGAGCGGGATCAGACAGCTCTCACTCACATGTCTGGACATCTAGATGGGCTGGCTTCTTGCTCGCGTTTCTAACGGGATTCTCATTTCGTGTTGCAAATGGCGCCCTCGGCTTGGGTCCCGTGCACATGCTCCTCGTGCAGAGCTGTCGCCTCTTTTGTGCTCCTTCGTGTGCTCTTGAAGTGGTCTTGGAGTGGTCTTGGAGTGCTTGTATAAAGAGGTCTTGGTGTGCTGCTCGGGGTCTGGAGTGCTCCCAGAATGCTCTTGAAAAAGCTTTTGAAGAGGTCTTGCACTGTTTGGGCCCTACTTGGGCAACATTCTTCTGCCCCGCCTGGCACTTCCGGCTCATCTGCCCCCGGTGCGGATGGGCCAGCATCCTGGAGCACTCTGCAACAACGACTTGTGTTGCCGAAGCTACCGAAATTACACCCTAGACCTTAAACCCCAAACCCTTTTTGCAAATAAGGTCTCCGATCTTTGGGAAGGCACCAAGTCACGCCCTTCTCTTGGGAAAAGGCAGCTGGTCAGTCATTCACTTTTGCGGCTTACCTCCACTCAACCCTCGAGCCTCAAACTCCTTCCGTAACAGGAGACCATCGAGTGCACCTTCTCTTCTAGGTGGGTTGTCTCTGTGAGAGAGGCAGGTACCCAAACCATGATCTTGATAGAGGCCAGGATGCAACTCCTCCATTCGGGCAAAGCTCTACAAAACACTGATCCCTTCTTGGGCGCAGCATCCTGAACATCAGGATCCGTATTCTTAATGCGAGCAGTCCTACGTACCCGGAGTGCTTCTGGGGAAGCTAACCATGAAGCCCAGTCTCCGGAGCCACAACCTCGGAGCCCGGCGTGGCAACTGGCAGGTCGACCTTGGGCCCGCATTGACGTGCTTAAGGGCTTAGGGAGTTTAGGGGTTGGGGGAAGTTTGGGGTATCTGTGCGTTGTGCGAGTAGGTGTAAGACGTTGTTCGGGCCCTTGTCCATGACACCTCCAATGCGTCCGAACCTGCTTCGATGGTCTTGGTGAGCGACATGTTGCTATGATGTCATCAGCACAAACAGGGCCTGCCATGCAGGCATGCTTCAGCCGCTTTTGTAAGTGATGTCGCAACCTCTTCCATCAGCCACGGCACTGTGGCAGGAACAGAAGCTGCCACCTGCTTGATGTGATCAGAAGATCTCGAAGTCAGTTCATGTCAGTGTTGCTGTGGAGAAAGCGACACTTTGGGAAGTTGCATGACACGTCCTCTCAGCTCTCCAGCTTGCCGAGTGCCAAATTCTGCAGCCTCATCATCCTGAGCCGCAGCAGAAGCTGAAGCCGCAGCCTCGCGACTGCTGGCTGTCAAGATTGCAGGCTTGCCGGCATTGAGGGTTAAGGGTGTAGGGTTTAGGATTTAGGGGACCTGTGAGCCAACATAATCCGAGCACCTGTTTAACTAATACCTCCACATTTCAAGAATTGTTTTTTTCGTCGAGAAGCCCGCCAAAAGACTACTTACCATTACGGGGGGTTTTCGTACGGGCCAATACCACCACATTTAAAAGAATTGTTTCGGTACCTTCCTTGTCATAACAAGGATCCTGAATGTTCCTGGTGCTCGCGCTCTGTGCCTTTGGCTTCACAGTTGTGAAAAGTAGGACCACTCAGAACTTCCGGAACAGGGGGCCATCATGAGTTATTGCGCTTGGGTGGGTGCAGGGGTCAGGAGATATCCAACTTTTCTCGAAGCTGTACAGAGGGTAGTCGTTCCAAATGTCTCCTTGTACGGGCCCAACATGGGTTTCCTTTTTCGTCGGGACCCTCCTTTTAAGGAGAATTCTTTCGGGTTTCGGGTTTAGGGTTTCGGGTTTAGGGTTTAGGGTTTAGGGTTTAGGGTTTAGGGTTTAGGGTTTAGGGTTTAGGGTTTAGGGTTTAGGGTTTAGGGTCTTGCCCATGTGCCATCCTGTTAGGGGTGGAACACAAAGCACCTCCGTCGCCAAAGCGGCCTCGGCCGCAGCAGCAGCCTCTTCGGCGCGCCGCCGCTCTTCCTGAAGGAGGCTTTGGGGCTTAGGGTTCTGGTTTAGGGTTTAGGGTTTAGGATTTAGGGTTCAGGGTTTAGGGTTTAGGGTCTAGGGTTTAGGGTTTAGGCTTTAGGGTTCAGCGTTTCAGGTTTAGGGTTTCGGGTTCAGGGATTAGGGTTTACATGCTTTCTGCCTCCCTGCTGGGAGTCTCTTGGGAATTCTGGCGTGTGGCTTGTCTTGGACATTACAGGAAACATACTTCACCAAACAACATGTTTAAGCAAACTGCGGAAATCTTCCTGCGCTACACCTTTTCTACTCGCGGCCATTTTGACAACAACAGCACACTCGAAAAAACTCGTTTTGCGAAAGGCGAGGTTCGCGAAACAACATTTTACTGAACCAGCTTTGCCTAACAGACATTCTGGGCCAGGATGGGCTGGCGGCATGCAGGCGCACAGTATCGCGAAGGCTTGTGGAAGGAGAACCCTCAGCATCGAAACACCTAGATGAGCACGCCTAGCGAAGCTGTCACACAGCACATTCTTGCGACAGGCCAGGTTCAGCCAAAACACTCTGTGAAGACAACATGTTGAGAAAAGTTCAGCCTTCTCGAAACTGAAGGAATGTTGGCCACTTCTTGTGCGATACTGACTTTTGCGAAGACTTGTTTTGCGATCAACAACATTGCATAAAATTCTTGTTCTTTTATCGCCAATAATATCCCTAACGACGAAGACGTGCCGTGCTACAGCTCAGTGGGAGTTTAGATCCGGGGGAGGAGGGGGGGGGGCGGGGGGGGGGGGGGGGGGGGGGGGGGGGGGGGCGGGGGGCGGAGGCCGGAATTGGCCCAAGAATGCGCAAGGCAAGTCACCAAGCCAGGCAGTTTTGAAGTGGGCAACCTCCTGGAAGGACTGCACAAGCTTGCTTCCACCGAATCATTGAAACCCGGCGGAGAAGGCTCATGCGAGCCTCTGATTTAGAAGACATTGCTTACCTACTTCAATAGTCTCGAGGAGCATCAGCAGCCTCTCGTGCCTGTCGATGGTCTTTCAACCGCTGCTTGAAAGAAGCTGGAGGCTGCGAGGAATGACGAGAAGCCCGGAAACAGACTAAGCGGGGCGTGGTTTATCTGTCGGCAAAGGTAACCTTAAATCCCAAACCCGAACCCTAAAACCCCAACAAGGCCAACCAGCATTTGAGAGCTGATCAGAAACACACCCAATAAGTCCCAGCAAGAAATAAGGAAGGAGAAGCGATGGACAGGATCTTCCTCGCCAGGGCCGAAAACACCGGTACCTTTAAATCATTCTGGCACACAAAACCATGGCCACACCCGAAGCCCCAAAATCGAGACTGGCTATACCGTCAGCCTCTTCTGCCTCACTGGCAGCCTTCGCCTCCTTCGCCGAAGCAGGACGACGGTTTTTCCGGTTTGAAAGGTTCAGGGCGTGTCCAAACGAAGATTTCGCAAGGAAAATTCAAAGAAACAGATTCTGACCTGGGGTCCCCATGTCTTGGCCCCGTACACTCCCAGCAGGGCTTCAGGCTTCAGGCTTCAGGCTCCAGGCTTCAGGTACTTGAGCTCCGAGAAAGAAAATACGCCTTGTTACCAAAATCCATGCGGGGCTCTGAAAGAAAGTGCATGCAATCGCTCTTGGATGCATACCTGCCTAAGGAAGACTGCAGAAGCCCCCCTCAACAAGGCCCAAGGCCTCGACAACGTTCAACAGTGGAAGACCCTAGCCCGAAACCCTAAACCCTGAACCCTAAACCCTGAACCCTAAACCCTGAACCCTGAACCCTAAACCCTAAACCCTGAACCCTAAACCCTAAAAGCAGCGTGTCGCGCCTTCTCCTTCTCCACTTCGAGTCGACGCTGCTCCGCCGCTTTCTCAGCATCGAGCCTCTGCTCCTCATCTCAAGGAGGTACTTCTGCGAAGGGTTTAGGATTTAGGGTTCAGGGTTTAGGGTTTAGGGTTTAGGGTTTAGGGTTTAGGCTTTAGGGTTCAGCGTTTCAGGCTCAGGGTTTCGGGCTCAGGGATGTTCAGGGTTTAGAGTAGGAAGGTAGGAATAGGAGGTGTGAGCCGTTCTGATCGCCGGTGATATTGGACATCGGACGCTGGGGGCCCCTACCTTCTGGAAACTCCCGCGCCCGCCTCGTCCCATGCAGACTGCACGTCAGCTGGTGGGTCTGAAGACCAAACCCACTCCGCACTCTTGGCCATCGCCACTACGGAGACCTTCTGTTCTCTGCAAGAGACCATCCACAGAATGGGTCGCTGGAAAATATTCTTCACATCTCCTTGGATCATCTGACACCAAACTGAAAAGAAAGGCAACTGCTGTGTGTAAAGAGACTGGCAGAGAAATAGAGAGAGGGAGAGAGAGAGAGCGAGAGAGAGTCTAGTTAGCCAGCAGCACGTGACTATCAACCCCGAACACAAATCCCCCAACGAAGGCCCAGTGTCTGCTTGCCTCCACCCAAGCGATCGCCATCTGGCAGTCAGATGGCCCAACAATCGCCAGGGAGAGGACTTGCACACCGTCCGCAATCTCAACTTCACGGGCCGCCACTGCCGCGTACGCCGGGAATGGGTAAAGAACGAGGCTAAAGCGAGACCGAACTGAGATCTCCTCACCCCCCGCATGGAAGACATCGCCCGAGTCGTAGCCTCTGGCCACCTCCTCAAAGCTGTCCTTGTACTGTATGAGGTCGTTGTTTCTGCTGGAGGTTAAGACATGCCGCTCCCAGCTTTGTAGGGCCTTCTCGTAGTACCTGGATGCCCACCGGGCGCTGGGCAGCCAAACGCCAAGTTGCTGGAACATCTTGACGTTCCTCATTCTCACAAGCTTCAAGAGGTCCCCCTCCGAATTTAAAATGACCTTGAAGCTGGCGCCGGATGTTTCCAAACCCTGCACGTGGAAACTGCGAACTCCGAAATCCTAGCAGGGCTTCGCAGAGGAGCATTCTTAAGCACAGAGATGTGCAGAAACCCAAGGGAGGTGCTCTCCTAAACCTTACTGTTGGTTAGCAGGGAATGGGGGAATGACCCAAGAAAACCCCTTAAAGGTTTTCTATAGGGCCCTCATCCCCCCCCCTGCCCTGCTCACGCAACAGAAGCTTGGGGCCTTGATCATCTTCTTCAGCTTCTCCTTGTCCTCGGTGAAGACAGCCAGCTGGTAGTCACCGAAGCCTGCAGCGTCCAGGTCCTGCCACGCTTCCACGCAGAGCGCGGCCGTGACCTCGAGGCGCCCCGGAAGGGTGCGAACAAAAAGGAGAACGCACGCAGCTTCTCAGAAAACAAAGAAGTCTCTCTTTACCGGGCTGTGCAGGTCGGGGGATCGGGGGAGAGGCAGCTCTTGCGACCGAGACGCCGTCTCGGCATAGCTGGTGCCCAGCTCCTCTGGCTTGGGCGGATCTTGCTGCACCAGCTTCTGCGTCTCCTCGATGCAGGGCAGGAAGTCCAGCTGCACCCTGGCGCAGTGGGCTTGCAGGGCCGTCCTGAGCAGCTGCCCCAAAACCTGCCGGCTGGGGTTTCGGCCAGGTTGGAGAAAGTCTTGGCAGACTTCCACGATCACGCTGCTCTCCACTTTGAAGCGTGCCACCAGGCGAAGCAGCTCTTTCTGGAGCCTCCGGCGCCTCTCCTGACACAAGGCAGCTTCACACTCTTCGATGTCCTTCGACAGCCAAGCTGTGAGAACCTCCTCCGGCACATGCCGGCAGAGCTTTGGCAGCTCTTCGGAAGGAAAGATGTGGTCAACCAGGAAGCTCTTGAGTAGCTCCTTCCTTGGCTACCAGCTTTCTCTCCCTTCCAATCCCACGCCAAGAAGCGCAGACGTGATTTAGAGGCTTATGTTACGGTAGGAATATGAAGCCCTTCACCACCTCGAACGGAAAAGCTCCTTATACAGGGGCCTAACAGAGACCCAGCTTCTCTTGGGCGGACATAGTCATTGAAAAGAGCTGCTCGCCGCTTGACTGTTTCAGGGCCTCCTCCCAGGTAGCTTCTTGTGAGGCAGAGGCTCTAAGCTTACGACGAAATGCCCGATAGACCTCTTTCTGCACCGTTGCAGAAGGTTGGGCAAGGATCTGATCCCTGGCTTTATCCAGGTCCAACTCTGCTGCCGTCCAGTCGCTCGCGAAGCCATAAACTTCGGACAGTGAATGAAGGAGCTGATGCTTCTCCTCCAGAAGTTTTTGCAACTCCTCAGGACTTGTCGCACGCTTGGCCCCTTCGTCGAAGACTTGCCGAATGCACCTGCAGATACTGGCAATTACTTGTGGTAAGGTCATTTGTTGGCAGTGCTATTGCTACCGAAAGCATCTGTGCCTTTTCAAGTTGCTCTCCTGTCCTGGAGAATGCGCGATAAGATCGAGCGAAGCTTGATTAACTCTTGACACCCGAAACGATGACAAGATCAAGGCACTGAATCTCTCTGCCCACGCAGGATTGGCCAAGATCCCTCGCTGCCACAACCAGCGTTTTCGTCTGCTTGTCAAATGCAGAGTCCAAGGAGGCAGCCTGGGCGAACCAATGCCCCATTGACAAACGTGTGCCCGTGTGAGCGTGATGCCGTTACGTCTGTCCTGTACAAGAACTTGTTGGAAAAATATGCACAAGACCATCTCTCTGAATTTTAATGATTCAAAGAAGCATTCTGCGGGCAGCAAAAACCTTTCGTTGCAAAACAAACCCCAAGGGAGGCCTAGACGACTAGAAGACGAGAAGAGGTGATGAGGGGCACCCACCGGTTCAGCGTGCATCTCGGGATCCACAAGCAAACATGCAGATGAGAGCTTGATTCCTTGTAGAACAGGAAATAAAGGACAATGGTAACCTGGGCCTGTGCCAGACGCTTCTTCTATGTCTTTTTGGGAGTTTGCTACATCTGCAACCCGAAGGCAGGATGCTCGCCCTGCGAGGATCCGTTCCTGCTAGGGCATGACAGGGCTGGCATGACCCTGGCCGAACAAACCCAATGTCCGACCGGATAGACCAACTTTGGCACACAATTCACAATTCCATGCGTGTGTCAAGGCGCCGCGGCTTGCGGCGAGTAGCCCAGCGGCGCCAGCTCCGTCTCAGCAGGCTGCGCGAGCCCCTCGCGGCCTTCGGCGATCTGGCGCAGGAGGTCCTGGATCTTCAAGGGCACGATCCTCGGTGTGTGTCTCGTTGCGGGGCTTGACCAAGTCTTCATTATGACACTTTGACCGTCAGCCCCAAGCTTGACGCAAAAATGTCCTGGAGGCAGCGCCAAGGCTCTGGACAGCCTCGATGCGAAGGTCCCCGAGGAAGCTCCGAAGCTTCTCGAGTGGACCGGACACCCTCAGGCGGGGACCCTGCGGCTCGCTCGCGCTGCCGCGGCCCCGCGTCTCGTCGAAGACCTCCAGCTGGGCATGCCGGGCGCGCTGTGCCAAGTCCTTCAGAGCGATGGGGTCGGATCTGGCTCGTGCATCCACATAGTTGAACTGCTGTTCGAGCTCTGCAGCCAGCTTCTGCACCTCGCCACACAGCCATTCCAGCGCCGCCTTCTCCCTGACTTTGTGCAGCGTTGCGTGCCACGGCAGGCTTTCTGTCGAAACGGCCTTGACTGTGTCTTGCAGAAGCTCCAGCAACTGCTCGGAGCCCTTCAGGAAGCAAGTTCTGCCGTCCGACTCGAACTGCTTGGGGGACAAGTTTGGCCAGACGTGCTTTGCAAGGATTGCACCCAGCTTGTCCCGGAAGCCTACTTCAAGGACCTTGGACACAACATCCTCCTTGTTGACGCCAGGAACAGGGCTGGGGAGCGTGCCGAAGGAAACCGTCCCGAAGGCGTCGCTTATGAACCGCATGCTGTCCCGCATATCGCTCTTTCGGGAGGACAGCCGGTCGGAAGCCTCAACCCACGCCGCTTGGTCCTGCTCGAGGTTCTGAAGAGAGTTCCAGTCCCTTGCCAAGTAGAGGACTTTCGGCTTGTGCTCTTCGATCCACTCGTTCTTGTCGAAGAAGCTTTTGTACTGCACCGCCAGGCGATACAGGGGTGCCTTGAAGCCTTCATCCACGGTGTTGCTGATCTTGTTGTTCAGGATCATGACACTGGACAGGACACAGGTGATGGTGAAGAGCCGCACAAAGTAGTCCGGGTCCGTGCCGTCTTCGGCAAAAAGGCCCTCGGAATCCAGGAAGAGCAGGGCCGTGTCCCTGTTCAGGGCACCAGGGGCCGTCAAAGGCTGCATGGAGACCCACAGCCCCTTCGTGCATGCCTTCTCCGTGGCGTCGGAGCATTTGAAAAGCGCTCCTCCGTCGTACTCGCTGCAATGCCGGCGCATGAGCTCCAGCAACGTGCTCTTTCCCTCCCGGGGCTTGCCGACGACGCTCAAGAAGGACATCTTCCTGTGGTTCACGAGGCCATCCAAGCGTTCTACAGCTGACCTCAGCACGACGAGCTCTGTCTTGCCGGGGGCCGTCCTGTGGACAAAGAATGCTGTCCCATCTCTTACGTCACATTTGAAGTCCCCAAGCTCCTCACACAGTAAATGCCTCAGCAAGGCAAAATCGATGTCCCTCTCGCCCGCATCAACCATTTCAACTTGGAACTGTGCCGGAAGCACCAACGGCAACGACCTGGGCATCACGGCCAGCAGCTCACAGGACGAAGTGCAGTCGCTGGGTAATACGGCCTCTCGACAGTGCGGGAGCTTAACCAAGACACAACAGGGACTTTGTTCGCGAGCCGCTCTGTAGACTTCTGTTAGGCGATCGCCTGGCTGCACTGGGATGTCCTGATGATCTGTAGAAGTGAAGACACGCACTGTCCAAGGTGCAGGCGGAGGGAGACCAGGCGGCCGCTGAAAAGCAGGGCGTCTCTCAGCTGAGGCAACAGACGCAGGTGAGCCAGGTGAGGGGCCAAGAGGTTGACCGGCCGTAATGCCCGCAGGCACAGTGGCAGGACTGAGCGCGCCAGCGGGGGGAACCTTGGCCGAAACCGGACTCTGCACACATCTGCACTACCCCCTGCAACGCAAAACTTCCACTACCAGACATTTTCTTTGCACAGAGATAATTCTACTGCCCACGGCACAGCAGCCCGCGGACCACCGAAGGCGCCACTTGCACTGGCCGGGTAGGAATGAGGAGCACGAGGGGCCGCATGGGCCGCAGCAGGGAGAGTCTGGGGTGCCCCAAGGGCCTGAACGGCCCCCAAGTCCACCAGCTCTAAGCTGTACTGCATGGGCACACCGTCCAGCTCCAGCTCCAGGATGCCTCCGTGCCGTGTTACGTACGCCTGCGCCTGAGCGGGATCCTCGAAGCGGAGCCCGACGCTCCCATCCTGTATGAAGGCACCGGCAAAGGAGGTGATCTTGCGCAGAGCCTTGATGTTGCTCAAGAAGTTTTCCAGTTTCACGGCCGTTTCTGGGTCCGGTTTTGGTGCGAACCACACGACGGCACCAATTATGACTTCGAAAGAACCCAAGATCTTGCCGTTGTCGGTGGTCACCTCCAACTCTCGCCCCAGCCTGTTGATCTCGGGTGTGATGATCTCCTTCGTTCTGTGCCAGCACACAAAACATCAGCAGCACGGTGGCCCAAACAAAGAGCCGCCTTAGAATCTAAGCCATAGAAGGATGACTGGATCCTGCCCAGATGCCCACTCCAAAGCGGAGACCTTCCGCAAATCGCACTGGTCCAAAACAATGCCCTTCAGCTCCAATGCCTCCTCCAAGTCATCTTCTTCAACTGGCTCCTGCAATTCCAGACACGAAAGCACCCTATCGAAGGCAAATGAAGGCTAAAAATAGAAGACGTAGCCGAATCAGAATGTGAATGTGAATGCTTTAACGAAGAACTGCCCAAATCAAACCACCTAGTCTACCAGCTGGGGTCCCGAAACTTGTACGTTCGCCCAGAGCTCATGAAGCAAGACCGTGGGGGCGGCAGCTGGCAAACTAAATACTTCCCAGCTTTATCTTTGATCGCAGGCAGCTTGCAGCAATTCCCTAAACCTTAACCTTAAACCATGAAATGGCCGCCAGTCACGTTGGGGCTTGATGGGGTTTTGGGTTCCGGGGCTTGGGCTGAGGTTTTGGGCTTGCATGATTTTTGTTTGATGAGGTTTAGGGTTTCGGCTTGCATGATTTTTTTTGGGACGAGGGTTTGGGTTTAGTGTAGAAGGTGGGGTTTTTCGGCTTCAATGATTTTCACCCCAGAGCATGCAAAACCTGCGGGGTCGCTAACCACGCCGTAAGGTATATATAACAAGTGAACACATTCATAAAGACCTCTATGTGAGGTTGACCTGCCTATGAGATATGAAGAGTTTGCATTGTCATAATTTGAAAAATGTAACCACATGAACAACCGATTTACGTAAGCTTCCCCACGGGTCGCTTACCTTGGTTTGTCAGTGTCTCGTTTTGAAGGTGGTCGAAAGCCAAAGGCATGCGCATAACAATGTTAATGTGCAGAAATTGAGTTTACCCCAAGATTTGTTTTCCTCATTAGTATGCGTGTGTGACTGAGTGTTCTTGGCTGCTTTGTGGCCCACCTCAACCCGAAACCCAATCCGACACCATGAAGGCCAGCGCAACAGCAAAAACAACGCAACCCCCCTTTGACAGGATCGCAGCCCTTTCCGGTCCCCCCAAGTTAAAATACGCTAGGGTGAGCTTTGGGATTACATAAGGCTTACTGGTGATCATCGTGTGGGCACAAATGCTTCTGTTCGCACACACTGGTAACATGGACAAAGTCATCATTCGGGCATGGGTGCTTTGGCCTTTTGCACGCGCTGGTAACATGGCCGTGGTCATCGTGCGGTATGGATGCTCTGGCAATTCGCACTCGCTGGCAACATGGACACGATCATCGCGCGGACATGGATGCTCTTGCCGTTCGAAAGCAATGGGCAACATGGACATGATCACCGTGCGGGCATGGATGCTCTGCCCATTCGCACGCACAAGTGCGTGAAATGTGTAAACAACGCACCCGCTAGAGAGACCACACATGGACACAAAAGAGCATGTCAAGCTTTCCAGACACGAGGATCAAGCTCCGTCAGAGCACGAAGACACTAGCACACCAGATGGCCAGGAAAGCAGCAGAAACCCAACAGTGACCACCACGAGACATCCAGCCACCTTAGCAGGGAGTACGCTTCATGCCGTTACGAAAAAGCAAACTGGAGCTCCAGACGTCTTCCGCGTACGACCTTTATGCTGCAGTTCAACGGGGGCGGCGGAACCCAGAATATCGTCCATACCGTCGAAGTCATAAGCAAGTCAGCTTCTTGAAGGGCGTTTCCCATCGCGGTGCCACTTGCATCTCCTAACGCTAACCCTAATCCCAACCCTAACCCTAACCCTAACCCTGACCCTGACCCTGACCCTGACCCTAGCCCTAAGTACTCAACGACGAAGACGAAGCATCGAACATGAGCCTGAATGAAGGGCACGCAGATGAGGTCACCAGGTAACGAGAAAATCTCACTCTCACTGCGTTGCCAACGTGTCTGGAAATACTAACTTAACCCGCCACGTGCTCTTGTCCCCAGGTAGATGTCGACGATGGCCATGCCTGTTGCATCTGGAATGTCGTTTGATGTGCAATCGATGACGAGGTTCTGCGACGCGCAGTCACGGGATGGCGTCGACGGCGTTGGTGGCTGCTGGGCAGGAGACGCGGCGGGCGCCGCTGCGTCCCAAACACTTCGAGAGCTCAGTATCAGGCTCAATCGCCTCGGTGATGCCGGTGGTGAAACGCTTCTCAACCGTGTGTAGGAGAGCACCACGCTGACGAGTCTCACCATGTCGGCGAACGAACTTGCTGTGGATTCTGCCCGTTGCCCGGCGGTGACGGCCGCATCGCCGGGGCAAGAAGTCGGAGCGAGAGTTCCTCGTCGCGCGGCGCGGTGATCGAGCGCGTGGCGCTGAACACGTCGCAGGCACGACGGCGCTCAGCGCCGGCGCGGGCGGACGGCAGGTTCGCGTTCAACTTCGGGTCGCTCGGGCTACGGACGAGCTGGTGGTGGTGGCACAGGCTCGTGGGAGTTTCAACAAAATGTATCCACGACGGGTGTGCAACTCAAGCTTCAATCTGAGTTATAATCTCACTTAGTCTGGCAGCGTTAATCACGGCAGTTGTCACGGATCCATGCATCGATGCCGGGAGACACCGTCCCGACGACGGAAGACTCACTCCCTCGTCACTGCCCCCAGAGTTTGAAATTGCACCTCTCGAAATTTGTTTTGGTTTCCTATCTTTCGACAACCAGAGAAGTGGAGAATTGTTCTACTTTCACCCCTCTCGAGTCTTGTTTTGCTTTTGTTGTCTTTTGTACTTTCAAAAGCGGAGACATGGAGCATTTTCTGCTATACCGCTTTGGCAGCACGGAGCTTCGTCCTCGAAGCTTAGGGGGGGGGGGCTTAAAGGGGCTGGGGGAAGGGTTCCAGGGATGCTCACATCATGGCTTTCAATCGTTCAAAGCAAGCTTGCGCGGCACCATGTTTTCAAAAACATATGCTTTGCATGGATTATAACAGGGGCCGGGGAAACACAATGCGTCAATGGGTTTCAATCGTTCAGAACGATTGACATTTTTTGAAAGAAGAGGTTTGGGGTTGGGTTTAACCCCAACCCTAACCTTAGGTAGGGTTGGAGCTGAGGTTAACCCAACCCTAACCCCGGTTTAAGGGAAGTGGCAAGGCTAGGGTTAACCCAACCCTGACCGCGGTGGGTTCGGGTTAAGGTTTCTCTGACCCTGCTACACCCCAACTCAGGTTAGGGTTTGGGTCGATCTCAAGCCCTCGCCACTCGAAGTCGGACCGAGGTTGTAACCCTAACCATACATATATATATGTATATTTATTTAACCATGAAACCACTAAACCATTAAACCATTAAACCATCAAACCATCAAACCATTAAAAACCATTGCTGCAAAGCGGCTCTCCTGCACTTGCTGACGTCTAAGACGGCAAGCAGACTGTTTTGGGACTTCGTGCCGCTGGGATTTAGAGACATGTTCCACAGAATGTGAGCAAGCACAGGCCTTTAAGGCGTCAGTGCTTCCAAAATGCCCCCCTTCCAACAAGGAAAACTGCTAGGGATGCGAAAAGGGAGGGAAAAGAGGGGAGGGGCATCCCAGGCAGGAGACCTTACAGTTGTTGGTTGGGGCGTCTCGGGCCAGCAGGCCTACAGGAGATACAGCTGCGCGTGCATACGTCATGCACCTCAGCTCACAACAGGAAAGTGACCTGGGTTTTGAACGCCTAAGCAGCAATACCTCTTCATTGCAAAGCGGCTCTCCTGCACTTGCTGACGTCTAAGACGGCAAGCAGACTGTTTTGGGACTTCGTGCCGCTGGGATTTAGAGACATGTTCCACAGAATGTGAGCAAGCACAGGCCTTTAAGGCGTCAGTGCTTCCAAAATGCCCAACACCCCGCACTGGACGCTACACCTCTGAGCGGCCGAAGAGCACCCGCAAAACTTATGCACCCTCAAATGGTGCGCAGTCAGTTACACAGAAGTATACAAAACACCTCGACAGAAAGCGAGAGTGATCACGAATGGGCGCAGATCGTGAGCCCACCCTCCAGAGCACAGCTCCAGGCACCGCCCAATGCCAGTCG